CTCTCCCCCAGTGCCTGCAGGGCTGGGAGCTGGAGGAACAGCTGGGCTTTGTGGGGACCTTGGGTGAGTGCTGTGCCGTGGGGCAAGCCGAGCTGTCAGGGAGAGCACGGCCCAGTGGTTCCAGGATCCCGATTAGATCTCAGTGGAAGTTCACGATGGTCCTCACCCTATTTGTCTGGAAGAGTTGTGGCTGCTCTTTTTTGCTTCCTTCTGGCTCCCTTTCAGAGGAGATTCTGGAAGCGGAGTTGGGGGGTTATTCCAAGAAGGGCAAAAGCCCTTTGGCCGCCCTGATTTTGAGGCCTCTGGGATCTCCAGGACACATGCAAGGTGGGAGAAGGCGCACGGTCACTGTCCCAGACAGAGGACTTCCCATGTGCATGTACGGATGGGCTGAATTCCACCCTCGGTGAGGCCGACGGACTTTGGAGCAGTTGCCTTTGGGGGAACCTCCTTGCTCCTTTTCTGCTCACCTCCGAACAGGTGTGAGGCTGTGGAGCTTCCTTGTGGGGTGAAGCACAGTAGGTGAAAGAATGACGTCAGCCTTCCGCCTCTCCTGCTGCAGCTTACGGGGGTGTGGGGCAGTAATGTGCTGATTCCTGGGGATCCCCCAGGACAACCGAAGTGAGAGGTCCAAAGGCTCCAAGTGGGTGCCCTGGTGGGAAGATCCTTCCTGAAGGGACAGTGAGGGAGGGAGTAGTTGTCCCCTCCTCTTCAGTGGCAAAAGGCCATTGTATGTTCCTGGGGTAACTTTTTTCCCCTGCTGGGTCAAGTTGAGGGCCTGGTGCTGAGGCATAGTTGGGAGGGGAAGGATGTGGGGCTTTGCCTGGTCCCCTGTGCCCAGAATCTGGGAGCCTGCTGTAGCCTGCCTGCCTCTGCCTGGGGAGATTCAGGGTCTAGGGGTGGGGCCGTGTAGCCAGGCAAGTGTGGGTGGAGGAAGGGTGTGGATTACATTTAAATTTAGAGAAAGTTAAGGGGAAGGGAACCAAGCTCTCTCCCTCTGCTGCCCTTGGATCCTTAAAATAGGAGTAGTCTACACATCTTAGTCTCATGAAAAGAAGGGTCTTTGGGAGCCTTGTCAAAGAGGGCTTCGAAGTGTGGAATGTGATATGTCGGATTTTCTAGAGACCAATGATTAGACCAGTGATTCATGGGCTGATAACAGCATGAAGTGACTCATGCTGAAAGAGGGAAGAGGTCCCGGAGCGGACACTCTGGGACACGGTGGGCGTGGGCCTGAGTGCGGCTGCTGCCTGCCTCACTCCTCCATCCCCAGCAGACAGTCTTCCAGGATGAGTTTGAGGAACCAGATTCTCCTCCTGGTTTGGGGGTGAATCTTGCAATAGGGTAATGCTTATCAAGTCGGAAGGAAGATTGCCCCTGGCCAGGGAGCGCATGAGTGCCACTTGTGTCTGGGAGGCTGAGTTGTGCACACGGCAGTGGTTCAGATTGGACTTGCGGGGCCAGAACTTGCTCAAACATGGTAGGAGGTTAGGGCTGAGGGTGTTCAGGGGCAGAGTGCTTGCCTAGTGTGCACAGGGCCCTGGGTTCAATCCTCAGCACCACAGACACATACACACACACACACACACACACACACCAGCATTCAAACGCAGCAGTCCGTGTTTTCATCACTATCCAGTGCCCCCTCCTAACAGTCTGCACTTGGACCTGCTTTGCTGTACTCGCTGCCCTGTTTTTCCTTCGGCCCTTCCTTTTCTTGGCCCTGAGTCCTCCTGTCCAGGAGAGAGGTCCTCATGATCATGGGTGGGTCTCTGGGTCACCACAGGGCTTCTTTCACCATTTGAGAAATTTACAGTGTTATCCCGGGGACCTTTTAACACCCCTCCCTTTAAGAACAAGTCTAGGCTGGTCTTCAATTCACTGTGTAGTGCAGGCTGGCCTGGGAGCCGCCCTCCTGCCTCAGCCTCCTGAGTGCTGGGATTCTAGGCGTGTGCCACCATGCCCAGCTCAACTTTTCTCCTTTCTGCTTCTCTGTTGCCTGCCATCCTTTGACCTGGAATCTGTATTTCATCTTCCAATTCTGGGGAGAGGGCATGGCCAGACACCATGGAGCACCAGGTCCAGAAAGAGCCATTTCAGTCTGTGGAGTGTCATGTTACTGCCCTGTCTTTCCAGTCTTCTTGCATCCCCCATGGTTCATGCTCATCCAAAGCCATGGCATCCAGGGCTGTGACTAATCCTTTGCTGATGGCCCTGGCTGGCGTGAAATCCATTATTAAGGAGGCAGTGGCTAGAACACATGGAATCTGGAGCCTTGTTCTAGTCCAGACCCTACCATTTTCTATTCTCATTCTCGGTTCTGCATCTGTGTGATGAGGTCCAAACAGTGCCACTGTGCAGGTTGTTGGGAGCAGAGACTTATCTGTGCACAGCGATGGGAACATGGCACAGGGGCTACTCCCCGTGTTTTGGCCCCAGGAGGATCAAAGCATGGACTCCATTTTGGAAATGGAAGCTGGGCCTGCAGGCGGGCAGCTGTGTTCTACCAGAGAAAACTTTTCCAAGTGGAAGAGGTGCTTTAATTTCAGGGCTGAAGTTTGCTTACCACTCCCACGCAGTGGGGTCCCCAAAGAATGAGCCCCAGGAGGGGCCCTTTAGAGAAAGATCTCCGGATGTGTGCACAGTGGGGTAGAGTGATTCATCCTTTGCTTTCAGGCTGTGACCTGGCAGGCTGCAAAATCCATTTGGGACTTGGGCCCTTTCCATTTAGCCTCCCTGAGGAGCTGACTAACCCTAGGCTAATCTGGGAAAGGTCTTAGGCCACAAGTCCCTGCCCTATTGTCCCAGCTGGAACTGATGGGGAGGGGGGACTAGGGGCTTAACTGCTTTGAAGAATTTGTGGACCCAGGTGGGTTGGGCCACAGGGTTGGGGAGAGCAGAGGTGTGCATGGGCCTTGTGGTGAGGTGGATGGTGCTGCCTTGCCCTGCCTGTGCAGAGGCCCCTGAGGAAATGTAGAGGGAGGAAGCCCAGTCGAGGAGGGAGGCTTCTCCGCTTGGTAATCCTCTGCCTTGTGGTAGAGACACAGTGACACAGGGCTGGGAAAGTTCTGGCTGGGTTAGTTGTGGATGGTGAGCAGGTTTGGACATGCCTGGCTTTTAGCTCAGTAGAAGCATCCATTTAAACTCCACGGTATTTGCCAAATCAGCCCTATGACCTCTGTCTGCCTTTAAGTAACTGATGGGCCAGGGCAGAGGGTCTCAGACTAGGCGTAGTGGCACACAGTTAGTGCTGCCCAAAGAGGGGGCTTGGGGGGCTGTAGGGGTCCACAGCAGGGCCCCAGATTGGGGCACATGGGAAGGCTCCAGGGGAGGTCATTTCCAAGAGACCTGCAGGTTGGGGCGAGGGACACAGGGAGGGTGGAGAGCAAATAATGCCCAGGCAGAGAGAACAGTATTTGCCAAAGCCAAAAGTGCTAGCTCCCAGGTGGGGGCAGAGGCAGGAGAAGGAGGGAGTGGCGTCAAGGGCACTGGAGTGAAGCCTTAGGTTCTCTCGTAGCTCAAGCCTTGGCCCCTGGCTGTGTCTGTGGTGTAGCTGCTTCTCTGTCCTGACCTGGAGTTAGAAGCCTTGGGTCAGCAGAAGTGAGAGGGTTGCCCGGGGACTTCCCTAACCCCCATGGAAATAGCAATCAAATGAGCTTTCCAAAAAGTGGTGCTGGTGAGCTCTGGACCTATGCAGTGGGCGCATGGAGTCCTGTCTTTCCCATGGGCCACAACCTGTGCAGACTCTGCCCACTGTCCCTTCCCCCTCGCTGCCTCAGGTGGGCCGTGCCATCTGCTCTGGGAATAAAGTCCACCCGGGGCTCTGTTAGCCTCACCTGGGTGCAGTTTCCTGCCTTCCGGTTGCTCTGACCCAGCTGTGCTGAGAGAGCTCGTGGACACTCAGCATTGGGTCAGCTCTGGGGAATTTCCTGGCCTGGCTGTGTCAGGAGCCTGCCTGTACCAGGGCCAGGTTGGAGCGGGGTGAAGTTGGCTTAGTCTTGCCACCATCTCCTCCCTCTTCCCATCAGCACCCAGAAGGTTTCAGGTGCATGTGAAGTTGCCACTGCCCTGAGATGCTGCAGTCCTGGGGAGAAGATGACTTGCTGTCCCTGTACGGTGACCCCAGCCCAGGCCCTGATGGGCACGAGCTAGGGGTGAGCCTTCTGATGTCTGTCGGTATCATTGCTGTACTTGTGGTTTATGGAACATTTTCTGTGCCATGTGCCACTCTCAGAGCCCTATGGGCGTCAGATCACTTTGTCCTTTAGGACACAGCCCTGGGGTGTGCCGTATCCCCTCATCTTACAGATGGGCCGCCCCTTCTCCACCCAGAAGGATGGAGGTGGTGCTGCTAGAGTCAGGATGGAATGTCACCTGGACACCCTTGCCAGCACTCATAGAGTCTGAGGGAATGATCCTCCTCCTTACATTCAGGTTTCTTTCTTTGGTACCGGGGATCGAACTCAGGACCTTGCGCTTGTGAGGCAGGCAGTGGAAGCACTGAGCTAAATCCCTGGCCCCTCCCAACTTTCTTTTATTTTTTTGGTACTGGGGATCGAACTTGGGACCTGTGCTTTCAAGGCAGGTGGCAGAACCACTGAGCTAAATCCCCGGCCCCTCGCAGTTTTCTTTTAATTGTGATAAAATACACATAACTTGAAACTTACCATCTCAAAACTCTTTTTTTTTTTCTTTTGAGACAGGAACTAACTAGGTAGCCCAGGCTGGGCTTGAGCTTGTGGTGATCTCTCTACCTCAGCCTCTCGAGTGCTGGGATTACAGGCGAGTGCCGCCAAACCCAGGACCGTTTTAAACCATTTTTAAGAGTACAGTTCAATAATAAATGCATTCACACTGATGTACAACTGTCACCACCATCCATGACTCTGTTCCCACTAACAGGAGCTTCCCACTGTGCTGTCCCCAACTCTGGCAATCTTCTTTCCACTATCTGATTCTGTGGGGGATCAGAGGTTGACCCTCTGTCTGTTTTGCTCCAGAATCTCCCTGAGGTGCCCTCCCCAGGCAGCAATGCCAGGATGCCTGTCTCTGCCACCTTTCATCAAGATGGCAGCAAGGAGCGGCCAGTGAGCCTGACGTCCTCCACCTCTTCGTCTGGCTCCTCCCGTGACAGCCGCAGCGCCATGGAGGAGCCCACTGGCCCCGCGGCTTCGGCCCAGAACGGGCATGCCCCCAACAGCAACAACAATTCCAGCGGCCGGCTGAACGCAAAGGGACCTCTCTCCCCATGCAGCATCCGGGCGGTGGGGCCCACACACCACAAGCTCAGCTACCTGGGCCGAGTGGTGCGGGAGATTGTGGAAACGGAGCGGATGTACGTGCAGGACCTGCGCAGCATCGTGGAGGTGAGTGCTGAGGTGGAGGAAGAAAGTTCTTCCTGGCACATCTGCTTCCCATGGAGCAGTGGGGAGATTTTGGGGTCCTGTCCCTGGAGGCTGTGACTTCACCTGCATCCTGGAGACACCAAGCCACACTGGTAGCTTGGGTGGCAACACTTCCTGCTGGTACCCAGGGAGTAAGCACCATTGATGGGGCCAGGAGGGGCCCCAGCCTGATAGAGGTGCTCTGTGGGGACTGAGCTCGGGCAGTCATATCCAGGTCCCTGCTCTGCCACTTCCTGGCTGTGGTTCTCAGGCAGGCATATAACCTCCTAAGCCTCAGGTTTCTTATCTGCAAAGCAAGGACACAGTGGACTCCCAGGGCTGGTGTAGGGCTTCGCATTGTTCAGGAAAATGGGTTGTGTGGCTGTCTCTGAGGAGCCCTTGGCCCCTCTGGGGACACACACCAATTTAGTACCAGCCAGGTAGCTTGGAACAGCAGAAACAATTTTCACTTGGGAGTTGAAAGTCAAGACATTGGCCTGGAGCCCAAGGGAGAATGCCTGTCCTCTAGATTCTGGTGGCCGCTGGCAATTCTGGGTGTTCCTTGGCCTGTAGCTGCACCCCGTCATGTCATCCCATTATCTTTCTTGTGTCTCTGTGTCCTCTCCTCTTATACAGACACCAGCCACTGGATTTAGAGCTCACTCTAAATATTATATGATATCATCCTGAAAGTCTTAACTAATGACAAGGCCTCCATTTCCAAATAAGGTCATATGCTGAGGTGCCAAGTAGACATGAATTTCGGGGTGGTCACTTTCCAGCCTGGTACAATGGGTGCCGCCTGTGAAATTGCATCATTGCTGTAAAATTCGGGATAGAGTCATGTGTGGGTAGGGGAGGTGAGGGGACAAGGTAGAGAAGGAATGGGCCAGGTGCTGAGGACCTCTGTCCACGCAGGACTACCTCTTGAAGATCATCGAGACACCTGGGCTGCTGAAGCCAGAACAAGTCAGCGCCCTCTTTGGGAACATAGAGAGCATCTATGCACTGAACAGGTACAGGGACTCACAGGCCTGACCCACATTGTGTTCTGCTGCCTGGGCCCCCTCAGGGCTGGCTCAGGGAGGAGCCCTGGGTGTCCCCAGACTCTGGGCTTTGACATGTGGGTCTGGGTCTTGATCTCTGAGGATGAGAAAGGGTGGTCTGTCTCTGAAAAAGGGCCTAATTAGCTCTGTGCTGGAGAGAAGGCAGCAGCTGGGAAAATGTGCCCTGGGCCGATGTACTTACTGGGGACAGGAGAGGTAATTTGAGGACATGTGTTTACTGGGTCCAGCCTAAGGCAGAGCCCTCTTAGGGTACTGCTAGACCCTCGTACATGGATGCTCTTCCTTTATCCTTCTACTTTTTTGGTCCCCATCTGCACATCTTGTAATTTCTTCTTCTTCTTCTCCCAATCCTGAGAGAAATGGGACTCCCTGGAGAGGCTTCACGCAGTAGTAGAGTGAACAGGCCGAGCGAGACAGATGAGAGAGGCTGACCGAGGCCTGGTGAGGAGCTGTCCAGGTCTGCTGCTGGGGGACCGCGGACCTCCGAGAAAGGCGCTGCTCAGGGGGAGCAGCATCACAGGACAGGAGGGGACCCTTTCCCTAGGTCCCTTGAGATGGACAGGGGCCTGTGAGCCTGGGAAAGTTCAGGAAGGCAGGCTGCAGACGGGGGATGGGATGGGAGAGGTACACAGGTGGAGGAGGCAGGGGAGTGCCGTTTCCAGGGTTCTCCACAGTGCCCCGTCTAAGATCGGGGTGCTGGAGCTCGCCCTCTCTCTCCCCGTATCCTTCATCCTTCCCGTCTGAAGCTCCTCTTTGTTAGTCTCTTCTCTTCTTCCACCTTTAATCTCTGCTTTTTTGTGTTTGACTCTGCCCGCAGAGGAGCTGTCCCCTCCTGAGGTGGGTACTAATGTCCCCTTCCTCTCCTACTTGCTGAGCACGTGGGGCTCCCTGGCTCCATCTTTGGTGTGTTGGATCCTTTCTGTGGTTGGTGCCTGGGGCAGGGCTCACTCAGAGGGTGGAAGCTCTGGCTTCTAGCATGACAGGGCGGGTGGGGGGCTGGGTCTGAGGAGGTGGGGCAGTGGCACATCTCTGTCAGGAGGCTGCAGAGGTCACATCTGATGGCCTCTCTCTCCACTCAGCCAGCTGCTCAGAGACCTGGACAGCTGCAACAGTGACCCTGTGGCTGTGGCCAGCTGCTTCGTGGAAAGGGTAAGAAGGCCTGGGTCCCTGGCTCTTGCCCTGTCTTGCTGGGAGCTCAGAGGGACAGGAACTCACAACATGAGAGCACGTGAGAGTCTGGGGATCCTTTCTGGGGAAGGGCACGGTGCCGTGAATGGAAGGCTGTCCTGGGGTAGGGTTGGGTCTCTAGGTAGGTAGGATGCCCTAGACCAGTGATAGCAAACCTTTCAGAGGTTCGCCACTGTAGGTTCACCACCGCTGTCCTAAACAAATGGCTACAGAGATGGTCCTGTCTGCACTTGGGGGAAGGGGACTGAGGCCTGTCCAGGCTTATAGTCATATGAGAAACTCCCTGGAATCACTATTTCTGGTCTTTCCTTAGAGCCAAGAGTTTGATATCTACACCCAGTACTGCAACAACTACCCCAAGTGAGTAGCTGGAGGTGTTGAGGCGAGGGAGGCTGAGCCCTCTGGGGAGTCTGGAGCCCCTTCCTCCTCAGCAGGCTGTCCCCAGGCAGTGACGCCCCTTCTCCCCCTCCCAGCTCAGTGGCTGCGCTGACGGAATGTATGCGGGACAAGCAGCAGGCCAAGTTCTTCCGGGACCGGCAGGAGCTGCTGAAGCACTCGCTGCCCTTAGGCTCCTACCTGCTGAAGCCCGTCCAGCGCATCCTCAAGTACCACCTGCTGCTCCAGGTAGCCCAGGCATCCTCCAGAGGGCACTGGGCCCATGGGAAGCCAGGGCCTCACAGGGTTGCCTGGACCACTGTCTCCTGCACAGGAAATTGCCAAACATTTTGATAAAGAAGAGGATGGCTTTGAGGTGGTGGAGGAGGCCATTGACACCATGACCTGCGTGGCCTGGTACATTAACGATATGAAGAGGCGGCATGAGCATGCAGTCCGGCTCCAGGTGCTCTGGGCTGAGGGGCTGAGGGAGACTGGGAGCCCGGTGGGGCTTGGGAGCGGGAATGTGGCACCTTCTGGGCAAGCTGAGTGGGGAGCCTCAGGGCCCATGAGGCCTGACCCTGTGGGCTGGGCCTTTCTCCTGTAGGAGATCCAGTCTCTGCTCATCAACTGGAAAGGACCTGACCTGACCATCTATGGGGAACTTGTCCTAGAGGGCACCTTCCGTGTGCACCGTGTACGCAATGAGAGGACTTTCTTCCTCTTCGACAAAACACTGCTCATCACCAAGAAGCGGGGAGATCACTTTGTCTACAAGGGTCACATCCCGGTAACCAGACTTCCCTGGCTCCTGCCTGCTGGGGCCCGGGTCTCTCTGCTCTGTGTCTGCCTCCTGGGGCTCTGGCACTGTTCTGATCCTGAGCCTGTCGAGGCCTGGGCCTCCTGCCTCCTATCTGACTGCCCTCTGCCTCTGCCCCCAGTGCTCCTCGCTGATGCTGATCGAAAGCACCAGAGACTCCCTCTGCTTCACCGTCACTCACTACAAGCACACCAAACAGCAGTACAACATCCAGGTGAGGGGCAGCAGGCTGTGATGAGCTGCTAGCACCCCTGCCTTTGATTCCTGGCTCCTGGGCTCGGCCCGATGCCCACAGCCCCATTGTTTCATCTGTAATGCGGGGACCATTTCAGGCACACCTTGGGGTTGTGGTGGGGAGTTGAGGCGACCTCGCAGATGCTTGGCATGGTGTCTCTTCCCACCTCTTCTCCCTGGGCAGAAGTACTGCCTGTGCAGGGCAGCTTTGGGCTTGTAATTGTAACTCCAGGTCCCTTCCCTTGGGCCTGCCCAGGCCAAGACAGTGGAAGAGAAACGGAGCTGGACTCACCACATCAAGAGGCTCATTCTGGAGAACCATCACGCCACCATTCCCCAGAAGGTCAGCTCCTGGGACACCCTCTGGGCGCAGGGAGAAAGTGCCCTGTGAGGTCTGCTGAGGCCCCACCCCCTGGTCACTGGCTATGGCTGGACAGCAGCATTAGTGCAGCAGCACAAGGCCTCCTCGTGGGTCTGTTGGGTCTAGTGGGTGAGGGAGGCCCAGTATGTGGCAAAGTAGTAACTCAGTGGATTTCCTTCCCTTCTAGGCCAAGGAAGCCATCTTGGAAATGGACTCCTATTGTAAGTTACCCTTTTCTGCCTGTTTTGTCCCTAATTGTGCACATGGCTAGGTCAGGCTGTGTCCTGGGCAAGCTTTGCCTGGATCTTTTATTTCAAGAGCAGGAAAGCTAGGTGGGCTGCTCCTGTCAAGGGCTGGGGGTCAGTCCTGCCGAGGGACAGGTTTCGAAGTGCCTGGAGCCCCCACGTGGGAGGAGGCGGAAGATGATGGGAGCTCTGGAGGCACCCGCCCCTGGAGCTGGGGTGGGCAGCAGAGGGCTGGCTGGGTATGGACAGGGGCTAGGCCAAGGCCCCTGGGGAACCAGAAGCCTGATCAGCTCTCTCCTGGGTGCAGATCCCAGTCGGTATCGGCGAAGCCCAGAGAGGCTGAAGAAAGCGTGGTCATCCCAGGACGAAGTGTCTGCTCACGCACGCCAGGGGCGCCGGCAGTCTGGTAAGAGAACCCCAGATCGGGCAGGGGCCACGGGACATCACCTGGGGTTGCTGTTTTCACCTCTCTAGTAAGCCCAGGGAAGTGGGGGAGGGCCAGTGGATGCCCGCAGCGCCCTCTCTGTGCTTTCTTGTCCACCAGCGTGGGCAGCCTGCCTCTCTGAGGCCCTGGGAGCGCTTGTTTATTTAGGCCTTGGCATCTCATCTTGGCTCCCCCTCCGCCTGAGCCTCCCTTCTTTGCCACTCAGAATACGTACCAATTTGGCCAGGAAAAACACTCAGACATCATGGATGGCCCCCAGCCCTGTTCTGGACCAACAGAGCAGAAGCAGGACATGAGGAAAATGAGTTAGACCAAGCGGCACCAGATCCAGACAGGAAATATTTACTTTCGGTCTCAGGAAGAAGTTCCATTTTCCTCTCCTGGGTTTTCTTCCATTTCTGGACTTGCTAATGTGTTCTTGGATTTATTGGAATGAATCGTCCATTTAGAAAGAGAAAACCTTACCTTTATTTTATTCTTGGTTCTGCCATGATGAGTGTGTATATTTTCTACATCTGATTTTACTCTGCCATTCTGTCCAAGGCTCAGGGACAGATCTGGGTTAAGGCAGGAGCAGGTGGGGCGGTGTGAGAACCATCATCTTGCCATCTCCTGGAGAGAAAGATTTTAGAAGGACTGGTCACAGTGTCTTGGCTTGGACCCACAAGTGCCTTGGGTTTTGATGGGCCATGTCCCTTAGGGCCCTTGAACACCGTATGGGCTGACATATGGGCTTCGGCCTTCAAAAAGGTGGAGCCAGGTGATCTCTAGACAGCTTTTATGTTTTTGTGTTCTTTGGTATTACTCTAGATGGATCTTGAACCCTGGTCAAACTTGTCATGGTTACAGAAGTTTTGTGGTTAAAAGCCCCACATTGAAGCTGGGCATGGTGGTGTACTTCTGTGATCACAGCACTCAGGAGGCTGAGGCAGGAGGAGTGCCACACATTCGAGGCCAGCCTGGGCTACATAGTGAGTTTAAGGCCAGCTTGAACTACATAGTGAGACCCTGTCTCACCCCCCCCCCAAAAAAAAGCCCAAACTGGGGGTGTTGTTTCATCGACCTGTGGCTCCCTTTCTTTCTCTTTCCTTTCCCTCTACCATTCACCCTTAACTTCCCATTGCTTAGCATTGGAAGCTTTTGGCACGTGGAAGTGCTCAAGTGATGATGGTGGTGGTGGTAACAGTTACACTGCCAGGATACCAGCACCAGAAATCTATGTCCATCATGCAGCTGTCCTCTAACACTGAGCAGTGGTCAGCTCCTCTGAGTCCAGCATGCCTGCCTGCAGTGTCCCTTCTTCTTCCTCGTATGTGTTAGAAATCAGTTGATGAAATGGGAAGCGGTTGTAGAAGCAGAAGTGGGGTCAGGGAGAGAGAGGCTTGGGCCCCATGCAAGGGTAGAGTGCCTGGGCTTAGCCATTTACTCTGCCGGCCCAAGATCTTTTCTGCTGCTTCTTCCAGAGAATTGCACTGGGCAGACAAGAACACTATAGGATGCCTCGGGCCTGTTGTTCCATCTTAAATTAGTTGTGACTTATTAAATATCCTTAATTACATGTTTTAAAATGAAAGAATAGAACATTTTATTTTCTACTTTAGAAACAATTAGATATTTGCTTATATTGATGCAGAGAGGATGTGTGTGTGTTGTGTGTGTGTGTCTGTGTGTCGCAGGAGAAAAGGCGCTCTTCAGCCTGCTGCCCTGCCAAGGATCAGCTCAGACAAGGACCTCCCTCTGCCTCCCCGTTCATAGACAATTGTGACTGGCCCTGAGCCTCGCACTCCAGGCTAGTCAGACTGCAGCAGGGACAGGCTAAGGGCGCTAGAGAGAGGGCTCTTGACATAAGGTCCTCTTATCTGTGCCTTCCTGTCTCAGGTCTGTCCCCTAAAAGGCTGGGTACAGCCTAATGGATGTTTTGTGTCCTGTTCCCAGAGCCGGGTCATCCCCTGTCCAGTTGGGCAACACTCCCCAGCAGGCAGTGAGTCTTCACGATGCCAGGCCTTAAGGGTCGTAGGAAGTCGGGTGCGACCTGGTTTCCGGTTGGGGTGCTGTGAGGGGCTCGGGGGAGAGTGTAGCCAGTGCGCTGATGCGCTCCTCGAAGGGTAGGCAAAGGTGGAGGTGGAGACCCGGCTGGCTGCTCTGAAGGAGCAGCACAGAGCCCATCCCTTCCCGAGGCTCTGGAACCGGGGACGCTGTGGCAGATGTGCTAATGCAGGGACAGGGGCAGTGTGCTGTGGGCTTGGGCTCCGCAGTGGGATGAGAGTGGCCTAGGCCCTGGCTGCCTGCGGGAAGCTGTGAAGTAGCCCCTGACCCTGCCAGGGGCATCCCTGAGGCCCTAGGCTTGCTGGGGGCGAGCTGGGGTGGACCTTGAACTGGTGATGGGCCAGCGGTGCTGTGGGCTTGGGGCTCAGGCCAGGTGTCTCTGTCCCTGGCCCATGCTCACTCTGCCTGTGCTTGTTCCTCCTCAGAGCCGACCAGGCACCTGCTCAGGCAACTCAGCGACAAAGGTGAGCCTGTGAGGAGTGTGGATGGCCGTTCCCTGGGAGCTCTAGGGGGCCAGGGGATGAGCAAGTGAAAGCTTGGTGGCAGGGAGTGGGGAACAGGCCTCACCCCGCGTCTGCAGAGGGGCTGAGCTCACCCCGGCTCACATGGCCTGCCCCCTTCCCTTTCCTGGGGACAGCCTGGACCCCCTGAGCTGAAAGCCCGGGACTGGGAGGAGCAGCCCCCAGGAAGGGTTCGCAGGCCCCGCTACAGAGGCTTCTGCTTATTGGTCTCTTTCCCTCCCTTGCCCCTCGCCCATGTGCTGGGGACCCAGTGGTGGTGTCAGCAGCCAGAGCAGCAGGAATGAAGGTATGTGGGGTCGCGGAGGCCAAGGGGAGGGAGCCTGGCTGCACCAAGGATGGGGCAGCCACGCCTAGCCCCCGGCCCTCTGCGCTCCTTGTCTTTATTCACTCAACACAGAACTGTCCACACCTACACGTGCAGGCTGTGGCATGGGGTTGCAGAGATGACTAACACGTGGCCCTCACCATGGGACCCTTCTCCACACTCTGCCTGGTGTGGAACCCTGAGGGCCTGCCCAGGGTTCCTTTCTCATTTTCCCTCTCCCGGGCCTATGCTCCTGACCAGGACTCAGCCTTCCCACCACGAAATGCCCCACTCCTCACTAGACCCCCACGGGAGGCCCAGGCTGGGAGCCTAGGTGTGGCCTTCATGCACAGCCTCCCCTCCCTCCCTAGCTGCCTGCAGGAAGAGGGGAGCTTGCTCACCAGGTGGGTCACAAGGATGTCTTGTGCTCTGAACAGCATGCAGGCAGTGCTGGCGCCCTTCTGGACTTTGGGCGGCCACGCCAGACACGGGGCCTGCAGTCTGAGGCTGAGGGAGCTGCCAGAGAGGAGGAAGAAGAGGAAGAAGAGGAGGAGGTGGTGGAGGAAGAGGAGGAAGAGGAGGAGGAGGAG